AAAGCAGTGCTTTGTTGGGAAATTTATAGCAAAAAAAGAGAAAAATTAAAAATCAGTTAAGCTTACATTTTAAGAAGCTGTAGGTTTAACAGCAAAGTAAACCAAAAGAAAGAAGAAAACGTGACACTGATACGAAAAGATGACACTGATACAAAAAATGATAAAAAGTCTGAAGAGTCATATATCTTCTAACGAAATTCAACCTGTAGTTAAAAACCTTCCTACAAATAAAATTGTAGGTCCAAATGACTTTACTGGTAAATTCTTCCCAATATTTAATGTTGTTATGAAAGATTATATCCAGTGCCTTAGTTTTCTATAGCTGCTTGCTGTAAACTGAATATTCATATCCCCTCACTTACACCCCAATTCATATGTTGAAACCTAATCTTCAATGTGATGGTATTTGGAGCTGGAGCCTTTGGAAGGTGATTAGGTCATGTGAGTGAACTCTTTGTGAATGGGATGAGTGCCTTATAAAAGAGACCTCAAAGAGCTCTCTAATCCCTTCCACCATGTGAGGACATGGCCATCAGTGAAACAGGAAGTGGGCCATGATCAGACACCACATCTGCCAGTGCCGTGATCTTGCACTTTCCAGCCTCCAGAACTATGAGAAATAAATTTCTCTTATTTATAAAATACCTAGTCTATGGTATTCTGTTATAGCAATCCAAATGGACAAAGACATTACTGTATCAAATTACCATATGCTTAGTGACTTAAGTAACACAAATTTATTCTTGTAATTCTGGAGGTCGATGTTTGAAATTGATCTCATTGGGCCCAAAGCAAAGTGTCAGCAGGGCTGTGTTTCTTCTGGAGGCTTCAGGGGATAATCCATTTTCTTTGCATTTTCCAGTTTCCAGAGGCCTTCCTAGAGCTTGCCTGCCTGCATTCCTGGCCCATGACCCCATTACTCCATCTTCATTGCCAGCAATGTCAGTCTGAATCCTGATGCTGCCATCTCTCTGGCTTTTTTATGTCTGACTCTGTCTTTTACTTAGGCATAGGACTCAGCCGTGTGTGACTCTTATAATGACAAGAACCCTTGTCATTACATTGAGCACAACTAGATAATCCAGGATAATCTCCCCATCTCAAGGTTAACTGATCAGCAACCTTAAGTCCATTTGCAATTTAAATATCCCTTTGCCATGCAATCTAACATATAGGTTCTGTGGTTTAGGATATGGACGTCTTTAGGGGTGATTATTCTGCTTACCACAGCCAATCTTACACATCTCTTTCACTGAAAAGGGAAAGAGGAAACACCAAATTTTTATAAGGCCAGTGTAACCCTAATATCGAAACCTGACAAGGATATTACAAGAAAATTAGAAGCCTACATCTCTTGTGAATATAGATACAAAAATCCTAAACAAAAAGTTACACATATAATTGAGTAATATATTAAAATGTTAATACCATAATGTCCATGTTAGGAAGTATTATTACAGGAATATAAAGTCTGTTTAACCTTTGAAAATTCACTGCATTAATAGAATAAAAGAGAATAATCATATGGTCATCTTAATTGGTACAGAGAAAGCTTTTCATGTATGTTCATTTGATAAATTTGATAATTACAATAAAAAATTTTAAGCAAATTGGGGATAGAGGGAACATTTTTAATCTGATAAAGTATCTATCAAAAATGTTTTTCAAACATAATACATAATGAAATACTGAGCATTTTTCTCCTGACTTTGGAAACAAGATAAAGATGTTCACTGTAAACACTTGTCTCCAACATTATCCTGTAATTTCTAGACAATGCATGAAGACAAGATAAAGAAACAATAAATACTGGAAAGGAAGATATAAACCCTTTTCTTTATTTGCAGATTGCTGTTTTATATATATAGAAAATCTAGAAGGCTCTAAAAATATAGAATTAAGTAAATTTTGCAATATTTTAATTGTACAGAAAAATTAATTGTATTACTCTATACTATCAGAAGGTGGTTGAAAATGAAATTTAGAACACCATTTACCTCAGCATCAAAAGCCATCAATTACCTAGAGATAAATTTAATAAAAAATATGCAGTGCTGCTACACTCCATGATTTTAGGGAAAAATTTCCGTAACAAGACATAAAAATACTTACCATATGGGATTAGATGAATAAATCTGACTACGTGAAAATTAATAACCTCTTTATTAAAAAGTCATATAAAGGCCGGGTGTGGTGGCTCACACCTGTAATCCCAGCACTTTGGAAGGCCGAGGCTGGTGGATCATTTGAGGTCAGGAGTTTGAGACCAGCCTGGTCAACATGGTGAGACCCCCCCATCTCTACTAAAAATGCAAAAAAATTAGCCGGGCATGGTGGCGGGCGCCTGTAGTCCCAGCTACTCAGTAGGTTGAGGCAGGAGAATGGCATGAACCCGGGAGGCAGAGCTTGCAGTGAGCCGAGATCTCGCCACTGCACTCTAGCCTGGGCAACTGAGCGAGACTCTGTCTCAAAAAAAAAAAAAAATTAGCCAGCCAGGTGTAGTGGCGGGCACCTGTAATCCCAGCTATTTGGTAGGGTGAGGCAAGAGAACTGCTTGAACCCAGGAGACAGAGGCTGCAGTGAGCTGAGAGTGTACCACAGCACTCTGGCCTGGGCGATAGAGTGAGACTCCATCAAAAAAAAAAATAGTCATAAAAAGATTTGAAAATAGTAATAACATCTGAGAAGGAACTAGAATTCAGCTGTATAAATAGAACTTTGTCAGTGGAAGAATTATGGACAACTATTCATTTTCTGTTGCTGCATATCAGATTACAACAAATGTAGCAGTTTTTGTGCAAGAGTCCACACACAACTGAGTCCTCTGCTTAAGGTGTCACAAGTCTCGAAACTAGATGTTGGCTCTTCCTTGTTCTCATCTGAAGAATCAGCTGAGAATGAATCGACTGCCAGGCTCATTCAGGTTGTCCTCAGAATTCATTTCCGTTGGTTGTGGATTCTTGATGGCTCTGGGTTCTTGATAGCTGTTGGCTGGAGGCCACCCACAGTTTGTAGAGGCTGCCCATAGTTTTTTGTCACATGGTCTTCCTCACTATGGCTGCTCACTTCATGGAGTTAGCAAGGAGAATCTCTAGAGTGAGTCTCTAGCAAGATGGAATCCGTAATGAAACATAATCATAGGGGTGACATCCTGTCATCTTTCTTTTGATAAGAAGCTAGTCACAGATGTTTTCTACACAAAGACATGAACACCAGGGAGCAAGGGTTAATGGGACTACCTTAGAGTGTGTCCATCACCACAAGCCAATGGAAAAATTAGCAAAAGACTTGAACGAGCATTTCAGCAGAAAACTATACAAATGGCATATAAACATAAAATGTGCTTAACCTTATTAGTAATGAGGAAATTAAAAAGTGAGGGTACAGTGCTCTTTTATTTGCCATCAGATTGGCAAAAAATAAAGAACATTATATTTATACACACACACACATGCAGAGAAAGAGAGAGAGAAAGTTTGTTTTAAGGGATTAGCTCACACAACTGTGAGGGCTTGCAAGGCAGGCAAGTAGGAAATTTTCAGGACAGTCTGGCAGGCTGGAAATTCCAGCAGGGGTTAATGTTGCAGTCTTGAACCTGAGACAAAATTTTTTCCTCTTTGTGAGACCTCAATCTTTTCTTGTAAGGTTCTAAGCTAATTGGATGAGGTCCACCCATGTTATAGAAGTTAATCTGCTTTACTCAAAATTTATCGATTTAAATGTTAATCACATCTGAAAAATATCTTCATGACAACATCTATACTAGTGTTTAAATAAACAACTGAGCACCATAACCAAGTTGACACCATCGCACACATCTATAAGTTTACTAGTATGCCTGGAATGACTGTTACTTGTTTTCCTTTCTGAATGAGACTTCACTTGGGTCTTTATTTTCAAATAAGGTTATAAATCTGCCTGCCTCTTTCCAGATATATCCATACTGCTTTAGTTTGAGGCACTCAGCAAAGGTTTCTGGAATAAATAGACAGAATTATAGACTCATCTTATGTGTTGCTGAAGCACTCTGTTTTATTCCCTTATTAAGCACTTAGCACTTGTTTGTATTCTTCACTATGTGCTAGCTTCATTGAGTTTCAGGGATGGCATCTTTTTCTCCATTGTGAAACCCAGTGTATTTTCCAGCATATAGTAAGCTCTAAATATTTGTTGAATGAATTAATCAGCTGGAAATATTTTCATGTAATTTTTAAAACGATCTGACATTGCATTAGCATATGATGTTATTCTCAACTTGCTTAATGCTATTAAGAATTTTAGTTCTTTGGCCAGATGCAGTGGCTTAAGCCTGTAATCCCAGCATTTTGGGAGTCTGAGGCAGGGGGATCACTTGAGCCCAGGAGTTTGAGACCAGCCTGAGCAACATCGTGAAACCCTGTCTCTACAAAAAAATACAAAAATTAGCTGGGTACAGTGGCTTGTGCCTGTAGCCTCCAAGACCAGCGGATCAATTGAACCCAGGAGGTTGAGTCTGCAGTGAGCTATGATTGTGCCACTGCACTCCAGCCTGGGCAATGGAATGAGACCCCATCTCACACACAAAAAAGAGAATTTAAATAAAATTTAATTTTATTGAATTGAAAATAATTCAATAAAATTTGGTAGAGATGCTTTGCTCATGTGGATTATCAGTCTGATAGGGACACATAGGTGAAAGTTAAAGACCAATAGGAATTAGGAAAATTTCTGCCATACAGTATGTATGTTTTAGTCATACCATTCACATTTACCTATTATAAATGTAGATATTTACCCAACAAGGGGTGTTTACCCAACAGCCATTGATCATGACAAATATGGCAAATATTGCTTAAGTTTCTAGAATATCTTGAGGCCCCATGTAGGAATTTATCATTTAATCGTAAATAATTTGCTTTTTTAAATAAGGAAAAAATCCATAAAGACACAAATATATTTAATAAACATATACACATAAATACATTCTTATTTATCTGTCTCCTTTCTTTTAATTTTTTAAGGTATTTTGTCCAGTCTGAGTCCTGTGAATTCTCCCAACCATGGACCAGTGGCTGCTGGCTCTCTAACTAATCGATCACCCATAGAATTTCCTGATACTGCTGATTTTCTTAATAAGCCAAGCATTATTTTACAGAGATCTCTGGGCAATGCACCTAATACACCAGATTTTTATCAGCATCTTAGAAATTCTGATAGCAATCTGTGTAACAAGTAAGTTTCCCAACTGTTTATTATTTCTTTTTCAAAATGTTGATTACAGTTAAGTCCTCAACATTTTGGATAGGTTCTTGGAAACTCCAGCTTTAAGCATTTATAAATGACCATATTTTTTTCGGTGTTATAATGAAATGCCATTATTTGAAGATGTGCTATAAGTTGTTTTACTTAAAATGTCAGTTCTTAAAATGTCAGTTTTCAAAAACTTATCGATGATATTGAGGACTTTACTGTATTTTAATAAAGTATTACCGGTTTTCTAGTTCTTTATTGTAACTAGATGATGGATTCAGCCTATATTCTTTTCCTTATTTATCTAGTAGTTTTTATTCTAAATAAATATCTTCTTATTTTAGTGGTTATTAATTTTTTAAATTAAATGGTCTCCATCTGAGGTAAAATGTACTGGTATTCTACCCATCCTAAGATCTTAATAAGTATTAAATTATTTTAGTATACACTGCTTTAGTACCTATTGATAGTACCCAGTTCATATGGTGTTTGATCTTATTTCTGCTTTACTAATAGTAGAGGTTTACCTCAGATCCAGTGTTGACTTTTCAAAAATATTTTGTTTCCTTCAAGGACACACAGATACTTTCTAGGTTAAAGCCTTTTAACTTTATAGAGAGATTGGAGTATTAGGATGTGTTGCAGTTGGGATCTTGGGTAAAAATTAAACAGATTTTCTAATTGTGTTCAGGTAAAAAACTTTTACCTCATTTACCATATATATTTATCTATTTTATTCTATAAGCTGTGGACATCAAATACTGAAATATGTTTCAACATCTGAATCAGACAGTACAGATTGCTGCAGTGGAAAATCAGGTGAGATTACAAAAGTCATATGTATTTGAGTTTAAGATAAATTTCTTACAGTGGTTTTTAGAATGGGAAAATGAATGAGTTTAACTTCAGTTTATCCATCTTTAAAATGAAGATTATTCTTTTTTACCCACTTCACACAGGATTTATTTAGAACAAATTATAAATAATAGATGATGAAAGTAATTCAAAGAATAAAAATGTCCTGTACAAATGAATGTAGTCTTCTTATGTTATATCTGTTGTTTATAAATAGTGAAATTATTTGTATGAACATTGAAATTTGTACCGCACAATCTAAACCCAAAAGGTATAAATTTTTTATGGCATAAAGAGGAGTTGTTTTAAAGTGTGGTTAATTATATCATTCTGAAATATTTTATATCCTCAAACAAGAAATGTTGTTGTTGATGAAATTATAGTTGTTTTATAACCTTAAAAATTGATGACTCAAACTACCAGTAGTAGTCAACTAAGTAATTCAGACCAACATTTCCCCTGAGGGCAACTAGAAAATGTGGACGAATTATTTTTTTTTAAAATCTACTTGAAGCCATTGAAGAACTAAAAAGATCCTGTGAATCACCCATACAAGATCTGTTGGAAGATAGAACTCCAAGAAAGTGAGCCTGGAGTTTGGGGCTATCAAAAGAATATATTCCAGTTCCACAGAGACCAGTGACTAATAGGATGAGCAATTTTATTAGTAGCTTCATGGGACTAGGAAGACAGAGACTAGAGTTGAAGGCTTGCCATGGTATGGATAACTTGATAAACTCTAAAGTGTTGTACCCTAAGAAAAAAGTTAAACCAAAAATAGATAAGCGTTTTCAGGGATTGTAGGCTCTTCTCAATCTGTTTACATATCATAAAATTTACCTTTTTAAAGTGTGCAATTTAATAGCTTTTTGGTTTTTGCATTTTAAAGGATTGTTAAAAAATAAAATAAAATAAAAAGACTAATTCTTCACAAACTCTTCCAAAAAGTAGAAGAGGAGGGAACACTTCCCAACTCATTCTTTTTTTTTTTTTTTTTTTTGGTATATCATTACAATGGAATTCAGTTCAGCAATTAAAGGAATAAACTTCTGATACATGCTACAACATAGATGAACTTCAAAACATTATTCTAAGTGAAAGAAGCCAGGCTCAAAAGATCATACATTGTATGATTACATTTATATGAAATTCTTAAAAGACAAATTTATAGAGACAATAATCAGAACAGTTGTGGCATAAAGTGAGAATAGGGATTAACTGTAAATAGGCATGAAGGAACTTTTTGGGGGGCGTGTTGAGGATGTTCTAAAATTGGATTGTAATGATTGCTGATAACTGCAAATATACTAAAATTATTGAATTGTACACTTATGGGCTGAATGTTTGTGTTCCTCCAAAAATTTATGTGTTGAAATCCTATACCCCAATATGCTGGTATTGGGAGGTGAGGCCTTTGGGAGGTAATTAGGTCATGAAGGTGGATCCCTCATGAATGGGATTAGTTCCCTTGTAAAAGGGATCCCTTGTAAATGAACCCCAGAAAACTCTCTAGCCTTCTTTCCCACCGTGAGGATACAATGTGAAACCAGTAGTCTACAACCTGGAAGAGGGCCCTCACTGGAACTTGGCCAGGCTGGCACCCTGATCTCAGACGTCCAGCTTCCCTAACTGTGAGAAATAAATTCCTATTTTTTTATAAGCCATTCAGTCTATAATATCCAATTATAGCAGCCTGAACTAAGGCATTTTACAATAGGTAGATTTTAATGGCATGTAATTTATACTCAATAAAGTTTTTTAAAAGAACAATAATTTATTAAGTGTCATATTTCTTTGGGTGGACTAGCCTCAACTGGGAGATTGTCACCTGAGGACTTTCATGAGATTGCAGTCAGATATTGGTTGGGGAAGCAGTTATCTGAAGGATTGATTGGGCAGAATTTCCAAGATGGATTACTCATGTGCCTGTTGGCTATTGACCAGTCCATCTAAATATGACCCTTCCATGGGCTTCTCCCAGTTTGTTGGTGGCATTCCAAGAGAGTAGGAAGTGGAAACTGCCAGTCCAGTTAATGACTCAACTCAGAACAGAGTGTCACTTCTGCCATACTCTGTTAATCAGAGCAGTCATGAGGCCTGTTGAGATTCCAGAGGGTTGGTAAACAAATGCTCTGTCTTGATAGAGGAATGATAAGAATACATTTCAGAAAAGTGTTTGGGACAAGAGATAGTGTTGCAGACATCTTTAGAAAAGAAATGCTACATTTATCTCACCTGTTTTTATTGTTATTTGTAAGATAATAGTTATTAGAAATTCATATCATTAAAAAGCAAATTATGTAATATACCTCGAGTGCCAGCAATTTTTAGATTAACTGCTATTTTAGAATATCATTGTAGTTACTGCCTTAACTTACCATAAATACTTGAATAGTCTAAATTTAATTTCTTAAATTAAATGTTTTTCATTTGGAAAAAATAATATTTTCTAAACAGCAAAACTTCCAGATCATCATCTAATCAATTAATAATTGGTATATTCATTGTATTAGGTTGAGATTACACTAACATTTATTAGTCACCTGTTATGTGTAACATCTTGTAGGTATTATCCAAATTTTACAGGGGAGAAAGCTTGCCATTATTAAGTACAAAAATCAGGGTTTGAACCTAGTTTTCTGAAACTCAACTCCAATGAGTACTCTTAAGAATTCTTTTTTTTTTTTTTTTTTTTGAGACAGGGTCTTACTCTGTCACCCAGGCTAGAGAGTATGGTGGCACAATCATGGTTCACTGCAGCTTCCAACTCCTGAGCTCAAGCAGTCCTCCCTCCTCAGTCTTCTGAGTAGTTGGGACTACAGGCATAGGCCACCATGCCCAGCTAATTAAAAAAAATTTTTTTTATAGAGATGAGAACTTGCTGTGTTGCCCAGACTAGTCCCAAACTTTTGGCTTCAAGTGATCGTCCTGCCTTGGCTTCCCAAAGCACTAGGATTATAGGTAGGAGCTGTTGTGCCTGACCGAGATCTCTTTTTACAAACAAACAAACAAACAAAACTCTACATATTGAGTTTATAGCTTGTAGTTATCATATAATCAGTACCCAGATCCAGAAACAAAATAAGAGGCTGGCCAAAATGGCTAACTAGAAGCAGCTAGTGTGCACTGCTCTCATGGAGAGAAATAGAAGGGGTGAGTACGTACAGCACCTTCAACTGAAACATCCATGTACACACATTGGGATTCATCAAGAAAACAACCCACAGAGAATGTAGAAAAGCAAGGCAGGATGACTGCCTACCTGGGAGTGACATGGAGCCAGGGCAGCCTCCCTCGCCTAGGGAAGAATGACTGAGTGAGCAACCCTGGGGACCCATGCTTCTCCCGTAGATCTCTGCAACCCTTGGGTCAGGAAACCCCCGCTCATAAACCCACTGCACCAGGGTCTTCAGTCGGATATGCAGAGCTCTGTGGCATCTTGGCAGAGTAGCTGCTCAGGCACATGTGGAACCCCAGGAGCTATAGATACTTGGGCTTCTAGGCAAAAGCAACTGCAACTCGGCAAAGCAGGAGGTTAGACCCCCATATGGACCCCTAAGAAGCAGCTGAATTCAGGGGGCTGAGCAGCAATGGCCTGCAGGTCCCATGTCCACAGCACCTTACAGGATAAGACCACTGACTTGGAACTCCAGCCAGCCACTGGTAGCAGTGTTGATGTGTTGATGGAACTCCCAGAGGGAGGGGTAGGCTACCATCTTTGCTGTTTTGTAGCCTTAGCCATTGTTGCCTTCAGTGTAACCACCCTACAAAAAAGCAGCCAGCTTGCTTTTTTATGTGGGTCCCTGACGCGTCGTCTTCTCACTGGGCAGGACCTCCCAACCAAGGTAACCAGCCACTCTTGCCACTGTTATTCAGCTGGCAGTGGTTCTGAGCCTCTGAGCCTCCGGGGGATGGTGCTGCCAGGGGAAGGGACAGGCTGTTTCACAGCCTTTGCCATTGTTGCCTTCTGGCTCTAGGAAGTCCAAGGTGACTAGGGTCTGGAGCTGTCTTTCCCCACAGCTCTATGGGAAAGCAGCTAGACTGCTTTTTCACATGGGTCCCAGATCTCGTTCCTTTTCACTGGGCAGAATCTTGTGACCAAGGTCTACAACCACCCCTGCCAGTGTTTTCTGGCCAGCAATAGTATCAAACTTTGCTGGGACGGAGTTCCCAGAGGGAGGGGCAAGCTGCCATCTTTGCTGTTTTTCAGCCTTAACCATTGTTGCCTTTGGGATTTGGAGAGTCCAAAGTGACTGGGGGCTGCAGCAGACCCCCAACACAGCCCAACTGCTCTACAAAAAAGTGGCCAGACTGCTTTTTCACACAGGTCCTCAATCCTGTTCCTCCTCACTGGGTGAGACCTCCCAACTGGGGTGTCCAGCCATCTCTGCCGGTGTTTTCTGGCCAGCAGCAGTTTCAAACCTCCCTGGGATGGAGCTCCCAGAGGGAGAGGGGGACTGCCATCTTTGCTGTTTTACATCCTTCACTGTTGATACCTTCAGGTGCTAGATAAACCAAGGTGACTAGGGACTGGAGTGTACCCCCAGCATACTGCAGCAGCCCTACAGAAAAGTGACTAGACTCTTTGTTACATGGGTTTCCAATCTCATATATCTTCACTAGGCAGGTCCTCCTGGCCTGGTTCTTCAGCTACCGTCACCTCCAGGCTATCAAGCCAGTAGCAGCTCTGTAACTCCCTGAGACAGAGCTCCCAGTGGGATGGGCAGGTTGCCATCTTTGCTGTCTCACAGCCCTAGGCTTTGCTGTCTTCAGGCTTTAGAGAGTCTGTGGGGACCAGAGGCTAGCCGGTCCAGAGCCCAGCAGAGAGTACCTACCTCACAGAAAAGTGGCTGGACTGTTCTCCATACAGGTCCCGGTCCTCACTTCTCCTCTCAACATGGGACTCTAGCACAAACATGCTGTCCCTGTCTGACCACATCAATCAGAGGCAGCCCAGCTGTTAA